TTTCCTGTATTTATCCAACCCACTGCCTGGCAGTAAATCTAACCAGGATAAACCTTGTGCCCTCTGGGGAGTACACCATTAGCAGGTATTGCCATGTGCTGGAAAAATGTTATTTCTTTGCAAGGAAAGCTTTTCGAATTTCAGTTTTTATAAGTACTTTTGTGTATCCTCCAGTGTGCACACTGCAAAGCACAGGAAATCATCATCTCTGTCAGCATGAGTAAATGTATCCTACCTTAAGAAACCAAACTCAAGGGAAAACTTTCCAAAGAGTGTGGACACAATGAAGGGATTGCTCCTCTGGGAAATATACCTGATAGTACCTGAGATGGTGGCCTCCATAGAAGAGGACCTGCGTTTAGTGTAGATATAAAGGCTCATTTTAAGTTACCAAAAGCAAAATGATTTTAATGTGTAGGTGGTCATACTTTTGAGGTATATACACTTTTGGAATTGTTCCAGTTAAACAACAATTCATTAAGATGCAAATTTAAATGCTGCAGCCAATTTCAAAACCTCAATTTTTATCCAAACTTTTAGAGAAGGTGGTTTCTAAACGGCTTTTATGTTTTATGTCTGAAAACAACCTCTTTGAGAAATTTGGACAGCTGAGTCCTCCACCTTGACTTAAAGGACACGGGTCACTCTTTTGAGGACAGCAGAAGACAGATGGTTTAAAAGAGGAGTTAAAGAAGCCATCTTTACCAGACTGGAGAAACCTTCTCTGAACAGAGGGGGTGGACTCAGGCACAGGCACTTACAATGCAGTTCTCAGCTCTCTCCCCAGGAAAACTCTGCAAACATTCACACCTGGGATCACATGACTCAGGTGGGTCATGTGGTCACATGCCAGGGGTCGTTAACGACCCTTTCAGGTTAACGACCCTCAGGGGGGAACACCCGGAGATGGGTTTCTACGACCCAATCTTTCCAACTCCTCCCAGTCGTTGTCTGTCCCCTTCTCCAGTAAGTTAAATATCTGCTCCTCACATTGGCAATAATTAGAACTGAAGAAGCTTCTTGGATAAGAGGCGAAAGTCTTCTTAACTCTACACAGTCCAGTTGCTTGATTTTGGAGTCTTCAAGAGAAATACACTAGAGAGCTTTTAAAACCATATGAGCCAACTCGCAGCCTCAGATCCTCTGGTGAAGGCCTCCTGGTCTTTCCAAAGTCAAGACTCAAAACTAAAGGTGAAAGAGCTTTCTCCATCAGAGCTCCTTGACAATGGAATGACCTGCCAGAAGTGATAAGGCCCGCAGAGACAGTCACTTCTTTTAAGTCTAATTTAAAAAGTCACTTTTACAGACTTGCTTTTATGTAATGCCATCTTTTATCTTTTATCTGTCATCTCTTATCTCTTTTACCTCTATCTTATTTCGGTTTCACTGTCTTTTTTAGCTTTTGTTATACTTGTACTCTTTTCATAATTATCCTTTTAGGCCTTTTTATTGTTTTATCTCTTGCTCATTTCTGTTGCTCTATTTTATCATCACTATTATTACCAGGATTACCTGTTATTTATTTATCATTGTTGATATTGCCTTTTATATTTACTATCCTGTTTCCGCTTCCATCTCCACTTTGATTAACTATTTTATGTTTTTATTTTGGTCCTCATGGTCTCATTTTATGTTGCATGGTTCTTGTATTGTCTGGGTTCCTTATGACATGAAAATGGCCTTCAATTCTGTTTTTGCTGAGCTTTTTGTTTTTATCTGTCCTTTTCCATGTGCTTTATGACTATATGTCAAAGCACTTTGTAAACTTCTGTTTTTTAAAAGTGCTTTACAAATAAAGTTATTATTATTATTATTATTATTATTATTAAGATCGGTAATTATAGCAACAGTCTTTAAAGCACTGTACATTCCAAAGAAGGTGAGGTTAATATAAAATTGTATAACGGTGCTACGTCATCAGTGCTATGACTAAATTAGCAGAGAAATAAGAGCTATTTTAGAGCTCAGGTGAAGCATCCTCTGTCAGACACACTTTGGGATCACAACTATGAATACATTTCTTCACACTTTGAAGGAGCCGGGGAAATGACAAACAGTCTGCACACAGCATCACTCTGCAGCTGCGGATTAAACCTTCTCTGAACTCTAAGTGCACACCACTGTGATGTTACCTGTGTGTGTGTGTGTGTGTGTGTGTGTGTGTGTGTGTGTGTACACTTTTAATTTCATACTTAACCTGTTCAAGTAAATTCAGAGGAATGTCACCCTTTGGAGTCTGAATTTACAAAACCCAAAAGCTCCCATGATCCAGGCCGGTCATGTTACAGCAGATGCCCCTCTCCCCAGCAACATTTCGACTTCCTTTTGGGAACCTGAGGATCTCTGCGTCAGTACTGGGCTGTCTAACCAGCTGGATGTCCATGGGAAATCTTCAGAGAGGGTGTCCAGCAGACATCCTGAAGAGATGCCAGGGCCAATTTAGCTGGCAAAAAAAACAATGCGAAGATGCAGAGGCTATACTTTTAGCTCCCCCTGAATGACTGGCCTCACTGATATCTTGCCAGTGTGAGAGCCAGCCTCTGAGCTAGCATGACTCTAGCAGTCATGGTCATCTAAATGTAATTTAAGGAGATGGGAAGTATTTAGTTAGTGAAAGAGGGTTAACATGGCGCTAACATCTACACAACACAGGACATGGAGGAGTTAAACCTTACCCTCAGCATTTAAAGCAGATGTTGCCGAGACATTAGCTCTGCTCCTGCTTTTGCCTGTACCTGTCTCACTTTCGCTAAGTAGCGTATCAAACACGTTACACTTCGGCAAATTAATTGCATGCTGGGTGGACAAATGTTTCTACAAATCAGAAGTATTTCCCCCCTTAGATGAAATTAAAGCTTTGCAAGTGTTGCAAGTAACCCCGGTATCATATTTTCACACGAAATACAGCCAAACTCTGGAGTGCTTTTGCTGCAACGCCATGCTGGAAAGTTCTGAACCACTTCAGTTCTAAACTGAGGACATCTGAACTTGTGCAGCTCTCCACAACTAGATAGACAAGTAGGTAAGGTATGTCAAAGCTGTCATGAGCAAGCTACCTGCAATTCTTACATGTCTATGAACCATGAAGTAAGCCATGGCCCAAGGAATCCTGTCAAAGCTCTGCAAACTGATGGCCACCTACATGCTGGTGGTGTTTTCCAAAGTCCTTGGGATAACTGAAAGGATCCACCAATACTGGCAGGGGGTAAAATGTGGATTTGTGCAAAGCAGCTCAATTTAAGACAGCAATAACTGAACATTTGACAGATCTCTGCATGGACTCTGGGGCTGAAGATGTGTTTAACCCGTTTTGCCCCACTGACAACAATTGTTGCCAAAGTGTATACCTGTTATTTTCGACTCACAATAAAAAATCTCAAAAGTACTAATTTAATTTTTTCCACTTATACACCAGTAGACAACTTAGACAAATGTTTTGATTTTTGAAAAAAAAAAAACTTCCAAGTGCTTCCTATCACATGACATCATGTGCTTCCTGTTCCTTCCGGCTAAAGAGACATGGCCAACGCAAATCTTCCTGGAAAACAGGTAATTTTCATAAATTGATTTCCCCCCAAAACAAATTATAATTATTTAATCATTCAAGTCTCTAGAGTAACACTCTTCCAAAAATTGTACCAAGGATAAATATTTTTTGTTTATGGGCTTATTTTTGTGAGTGGCAACAAAAGTTGCCAGTGGGCACATGAGGTGTCGCTAACTAAAGGAAAACACTCTTTGCAGGATTGCTCCTAATTTACTTATATAAGATTGTAGAATAAAGTGCAATGGCTCATTTTAGTCATCTTAGAATACTCTTCCTAGCTAAATAAACTCACAGGCATTTAAGGCCTGTGTGTATAGGTTGTTTATACATTACCGTACATCATTTTCTTGCTAGCTAACATTAGCTTGTGTTTCACTGAGGTAAAAAATGTTGATGTGCAGTTGGAGGTGCACTTTTCTTGACACACAAGTACTTACCATAACCAATGCCCACACCTACAACCACCTAAACATATTTAAATATGTTTACAGAGGTTATAAGAAAAAACTGTTTGTTGAGGTTTCAATTATTAATAAAATTAAAAATGACATCCAGCTCCCTGCTGGTCCCCGGCACAAACAAAAATGACAGGATGATTTTATGGTGGAGTCAGCCTGTGGGGCAACCTCTGATTCGATCACCTCAGGTGATTCCAGACATCATCTTTTTTTATCCATGTCTTGACAGGATGTTGCAGAAGCTTACTCATCGTTTTTCAGATGTAGGGGGAGAGCTGATGTCAGGCATTCAAGCCTGCAACCCAACTTCTATGACCGTTCTCTCTAAAGATGCCTTGCAAAACCTTGCGACCCATTACAAGATCCCACTGAAGCCAGTAGAGCTTATGGTAGCTAAAAATTTCATCAAGAGGTAGCTTGAGAAGGAGAAAGGGAAACAAGTGTGAAAGAGAAAGACATAGCTGACACAACCACTGTGTTCCACATGCTTGATGGGGACATGTTTCCAACCCTGAAAGCTGTTTGTGGATCCTTCAGGACAACCCCTTTGTCTAGTTAAAGTTAGTAAAATTGGTATGTATTTTCTGTATCAGCAATAAAAAAAAAACAAAAAAAAAAAACAGGACTTTGCGCATACATCTTTCCTCCCTCTGGGCTAAGCATCGGATCTCCCATAATCCTAGATCCACCCCTGCTTGACAATACTTCTTTAGTACTAATAACTGCAGTCTTATCTACTTGACTTGAGAAATTTAATCTCCCAAAACTTGTAGTTTCTATTTTGGCCACATTTTCCATATCAAGGTAAACTTTTACCCTGATACATTCCTATAAAAGTCTGTGTTACTCCCCGTGTTGCTGTGTTGATGATTTTGCTTGCAATCACTTCTTTTTTGCCATATTTATTATTATTTGTCTGTTATTTCTTTTTTTGTTGTTGTTGTTGTCGGCTCTCATCATTGCATTCAGGCTCACCATGCCCATTTAAGCAGGTGGGGCATGTGCTACGGTAGATTGTTTAACATCTGACAGAATTTTTTATACCCTGAAGGCCCTGAGGAACACTCTCCAAAGCTGAAATTCCTCCTCTTCATCATGATTATTTTATGCCATTGATAATTAAGCATGCAATTGTTGTGTAATGATACAGCATGCTTTAATGTGATTTATCCAGACAGACATTCAGACAGAAGCTGATGAAAAATAGAAACAGAAGAGGGAGGATCTCTTGTAAATAATGGAGAAAGAGAGAGCTGTGAGGGGGAGACATCAGCAGTAGATGACGATGGAGAAAGAGGAGGGCATAATCAGGTATGATGAGAAGAAAACCACGCAAGGAAACCTTTTGTATTTCTGCAAAACCTCATGGTTTTAACGAGTGCACTGACCTTACTTTTATAAAGTGTTTCACTCTTGATTATTTTTAGACAAATGTCTAAAAAAGATCACTGAGTGCAGCGGAGTTCCGCAGCTTAAGCTGACTCCTCCTCTTGACTGGTGAGCGTGCGCATTGCTTCATTCCCTTCCCTGCTGTTGAACTGTGTGTAGCATTTTGTTCCTCCTGTTAGCGTTCTTGCTGTTTGGGTTATTATCTCTCTTTAATCAATCAATACATCTGTTTGTTTAAAAGTCTGTAAGTATATCTGATAGTTTTCACCAAGCACGTCTTTATCTCCATTCCGGGTGATCTCTCTGGTAGTTTACTTTACTAGCTCTTAGCTTCTCTTAGCTTAGCTTCACTTGCTAACGATGGCTTCCCCCTGGTCTCCTGCTTCCCCTGCTCGCTTCTGCTCAGTGTGTCAGATGTTTAGTTACTCCTCGTCCTGTTAGGTGTTGTGCATAGGTGGACCCAGAGCAGAGGCTGAATCAGATCAGGATTTCAACAAACAGTGATTTTTATTTACATGTGAGTAAAAAGTAAACAAAGCAATGATGGTGGTGGTGGCGGGAGCTCGTGGAGACCTGGAAAAAACGAGAAAGAGAGAAGGAGTTAGTCCAGGGGTAAAATGAGCATGAATCCACAACAGTCATCAAAAAATGAAGCACAAGATAATCTCCGTGAGGGGAGAAGAGGCTTAAGGCCAGCACAAACGTAGTGAACGAACCACTTAGTCAGGCAATCAGCCGGCACCGAGAAGATTCCTTCCTGGGCTCTTGTAGGCAGGTAATCAGACCGGAATTAGCAGCAGGTGAGGTCTCCAGCAGGTGATCAGCTCCCGCGGTGCCACCCATGCAGGAAGTGAAGAGAGGGATCCTGAGCAGCCTACAGCGCCGCTCAGGCGAAGTGGATAAAGGGGGGAAGACAGCCCGAGAGGGGAGGGCAAAGAGGAGCAAAACTGGAGGACTGGGGACCAGTCCTCACAGTACCCCCCCCTCAACGGACGTCTCCCGACGTCCTACCCGGCTTGTCGGGGTGGTCATGGTAGAAGTCCCGGAGGAGGTTGCCATCAAGGATGAGACCGCGGGGGATCCATGACCTCTCCTCAGGTCCATATCCCTCCCAGTCGACCAGGTACTGGAATCCTCGCCCCCGCGGCCTGACGTTCAAAATCCGGGATACTGTAAACGCCGGATGGTCATCAATGAGTCGGGGGGGTGGAGGGGGCTCGGCCGGAGGGCAGAGCTCGCTGGTCTCCACTGGCTTGAGAAGAGAGACGTGGAATGTGGGATGGACCCTCAGGGAAGCTGGCAACCTGAGTCTCACGGCAGAGGGGTTAATAATCTTCTCCACCGGAAAAGGACCAATAAAATGAGGGGCCAACTTACTAGCCTCCACCTGGAGGGGCAGGTCCCGAGAAGATAACCACACCATCTGGCCAGGACGATACGAAGGAGCCGGTTGACGATGGAGATCAGCACTGCGTTTGGTTCTCTCAGTGGTAGCGGACAGAGCCTCTCGAGCCCTCCTCCATACCTCCTTCAGACGCTTAATGTGAGCCCCCACAGAAGGAACAGCGACCTCTCTCTCCTGTTCTGGAAACAACGGGGGTTGGTAACCAAAACAAACTTGGAACGGAGACATACCCGTAGACGAACAGGAGAGGGCGTTGTGGGCGTACTCCACCCAAGGAAGATGGTTGCTCCAGGTAACTGGGTGATGGGCTGCGACGCAGCGTAAAGCACTCTCGAGGTCCTGATTGGCCCGCTCAGTCTGGCCGTTGGTCTGCGGGTGGAAACCCGAGGAGAGGCTGACTGCTGCGCCCAATGCCTGGCAGAAATCCCTCCAAACACGAGAGGCAATATCCTGAGGGACTCCATGCAGTTTGAACACGTGAGTGATTAAAAGGTTAGCTGTCTCCAGTGCGGTAGGCAATTTAGGGAGTGGTACATAATGGACCATTTTGGAGAAGCGATCCACTATGGTGAGGATGACAGTGTTACCTTGTGAGGGGGGCAACCCGGTGACAAAGTCCACAGCAATGTGAGACCAAGGGCGACTGGGCACCGGCAGGGGGCGCAGCAGACCAGCTGGTGGCTTGTGGGAGGCCTTTCCCCGGACACAGACTGAGCAGGCAGCCACGAACTCCCGAGTGTCTCGAGCCATTGAGGGCCACCAAAACCTCTGCCGGAGGAAAGACAGGGTGCGATTAATACCGGGGTGACAGCTTAGTTTGGAGAACCTCCGACCGAACGGAGTCAGGAACAAACAGGAGATTGGGGGGACCAGTTTCGGGATCCGGATGACGTGTCTGGGCCTCCCTAACAACACGCTCCACGTCCCAATGAGCGGCACCCAGGATGCAGGAGGGAGGAAGGATGGAAGAAGGACCCTCAGGCTCCGATGGAGGGGAGAAGACCCGGGAGAGAGCATCAGGCTTGGTGTTCTTGGATCCGGGGCGATATGAAATGGAGAAGTTAAAACGACTCAGGAAAAGAGACCACCTGGCCTGCCTCGGGTTGAGCCGTTTTGCTGTCCGGAGATACGCCAGGTTCTTATGGTCCGTCCAGATCAAAAAAGGCTTCTCCACGCCCTCCAGCCAGTGTCTCCACTCTTGTAGAGCTCCCACCACCGCTAAGAGTTCTCGGTTTCCCACGTCGTAATTTCGCTCTCCGGGAGAAAGGCGACGAGAAAAAAAAGCACAAGGGTGCAGCTTGTTGGTAGTTGGGTCTCGCTGGGAGAGGATAGCACCGATGCCGGAGTCAGAGGCGTCCACCTCCACCACGAACTGTAGAGAGGGGTCAGGGTGCAGGAGTACAGGGGCAGAGGTGAACAATGTCTTGAGGTCCTGGAAGGCGCTGTCAGCCTCGTCTGACCAACAGAAGGGGACCTTGACAGAGGTGAGCTGAGTGAGAGGTTTAGCTACGCTACTGTAGTTACGAATAAATCTACGGTAGAAGTTAGCAAAACCTAAAAACCGCTGTAACTCCTTACGGGTGGTAGGGGTGGGCCAACTGATCACAGCTTGGATCTTGCAAGGGTCGGGGCGTAACTGACCAGCCTCTATGATATAACCTAAAAAACTGACTCTGGACGCATGAAACTCGCATTTCTCAGGCTTTACATAGAGACGGTTTTCGAAGAGACGCTGGAGAATGAGACGGAGGTGCTGACGATGCTCATCTTGATTCTTGGAGAATATCAAGATGTCATCGAGGTAAATGAAAACAAACTTATTCAGCACGTCCCGGAAAATGTCATTCATAAATGACTGAAAAACTGCCGGAGCATTGGTGAGACCAAAAGGCATCACCAAATACTCAAAATGTCCCATGGGTGTGTTAAAGGCAGTTTTCCATTCATCTCCCTCTCTGATCCGGATGAGATGATACGCGTTTCTAAGATCAAGTTTGGAGAAGATCTTAGCATGACACAGGGGCTCAAATGAGGGATCGATAAGAGGAATGGGAGACTTATCTTTAATGGTTATGTCGTTAAGACCACGGAAATCGACGCACGGCCGAAGTGAAGAATCCCTCTTACCCACGAAGAAAAAACCCGCCCCTACGGGAGACGAAGAAGGCCGAATTAACCCGGAAGCCAACGACTCGGAAATGTAAGTCTGCATGGAATCCTTCTCTGAACGAGACAGGTTGTAAAGTCGGCCAGAAGGTAAGGGGGCGCCAGGGAGCAGGTTAATCACGCAGTCGTAAGGACGGTGCGGAGGCAGTGTCTTAGCCAGATCTTTACTAAATACCTGTGCTAAGTCATGATAGCAAGAGGGTACCGAAGAAAGATCAGGAGGTGCCGGTGTAACCGAAGGAGGGTTAACGACTGCCGACTGCAAACAAAAAGAGTGACAATGAGTGCTCCAACTGACAATAGAGGACGTGACCCAGTTAATGTGAGGACTATGCAGTTTAAACCAAGGCAGCCTGAGAATAACTGGGGAACAGGGAGACGAAATGACAAAAAACTTAATTTTCTCGGAATGATTACCGGAAAGTAGTAAGGTGAGGTGAACTGTCTCAAATTTAAACCTCCGAAATGACTCGACCGTCCAATGCCAGAACCTGTTTAGCCTGAGAAAGCGAGTTGGTGGGAATATTGTGAACTTTAACAAAGGCCTCATCAATAAAATTATCATCCACGCCAGAGTCAAGAAAAACTGAAGTCTTAATAACGGAGGAGGGAAAACTAAGAGAGGCAGGAAACGTGGACCTGGAAGAAGGGCTTCTGGGGGTTGATAGCCGACTCACCATTACGCCCTTGCTTAATGATGAGTCCTGTCTTTTAACAGAAGGGGGCAGGACTGAAGGGAATGCTCCGCTCCTCCACAGTAAAGGCAGAGATTCTCCACTCTCCGTCTTCTTCTCTCCCTTAGACTCAGCCGAGTCTTGCCCAACTGCATGGGCTCCTCCGAGTCAGCAGGGGGAGCAGTAGCAGGTGGCGTAGGTGCAGGTGGAGTAAGTTGGCCTAGAGTAGGGCGAGCAGTGGAAACCACATGACCAGAAGGGGGAGTCTGACGGGGAGCACTAGCAGCCCTCTCCCTGTCTCTCTCTCTCAATCTACCGTCTATTTTAATCGCTAGATCAAACAGTTCCTGTAGTGAGTCTGGCTCATCCCTAGTTGCCAATTCATCCTTCAATTCCTCCGAAAGCCCCTTGACAAATAACGCCTTTAATGCAGCCTCGTCCCAACCACACCTCCCAGCCAAAATTTGGAAATCGACCGCAAAGCTAGCCACCGATTGACCCCCCTGAGATAATGCCAGGAGCTGTTTAGCAGCATCTTGGCCCAGAACCGGGTGATCAAAAACCCTACGTAGTTGGGCAGAAAATGTCTCAAATGAATTAAGAACACTGGATCCCCCCTCCCATAAGGCTGTGGCCCACTTTGCGGCTCTACCCCCAAGGAGATTAATGGTATAAGCAATATTGGCCTCATCGGAGGCATAACTGTAGGGCTGGAGCTTAAACACAAGGCTACAATTAAACAAAAAAAACGGCTACAGGACCCAAAATCACCCGAAAATGGCTCAGGGTGTGAAACAAACGGTTCTTTAAAATGAACCGAGTCTGGAGAGAGAGCGGCAGGGGGAGAAGCCGGCGCGGCACTCACCGCAGTAGCAGGGGGGCCTCTGGCCTCAATCAGCTGAGCGCTAATCTGTTGCATTTGGCAAGTCATCTCCTCCAAAGTTCCAGTCACTCCCTTGAGAAGCGAATCATGTTGTCCCAAAAGTGTTCCATGTGACACCAGAGCGTCCTTGATTTGATCCAACCTCGCGGACTCCATAACGAGGCCAGCTGATTCTGTTAGGTGTTGTGCATAGGTGGACCCAGAGCAGAGGCTGAATCAGATCAGGATTTCAACAAACAGTGATTTTTATTTACATGTGAGTAAAAAGTGAACAAAGCAATGATGGTGGTGGTGGCGGGAGCTCGTGGAGACCTGGAAAAAACGAGAAAGAGAGAAGGAGTTAGTCCAGGGGTAAAACGAGCATGAATCCACAACAGTCATCAAAAAATGAAGCACAAGATAATCTCCGTGAGGGGAGAAGAGGCTTAAGGCCAGCACAAACGTAGTGAACGAACCACTTAGTCAGGCAATCAGCCAGCACCGAGAAGATTCCTCCCTGGGCTCTTGTGGGCAGGTAATCAGACCGGAATTAGCAGCAGGTGAGGTCTCCAGCAGGTGATCAGCTCCCGCGGTGCCACCCATGCAGGAAGTGAAGAGAGGGATCCTGAGCAGCCTACAGCGCCACTCAGGCAAAGTGGATAAAGGGGGGAAGACAGCCCGAGAGGGGAGGGCAAAGAGGAGCAAAACTGGAGGACTGGGGACCAGTCCTCACACGTCCTCCTGAGACGATAACGATACTTGCTTTAAGTGCAGTTTATTCTTAGCTCTAGAGGCGAGGATTACAGAGTTAGAAAAGCAACTCCACACCGATGCTAGAGTAGCGGTAGCCAGCCAGGACACGGTAGCCGGTGCGGGTCGGCCTAGCTTAGCTCCCCCGCACCTCTGTACTCCCTTCAGAGCAGCTTCCTAGCTACAATCAGTTTGATATAGAGATCAGGGAGCATAGCTGCAGTTCTACACGTTCCTCTACACTTTTGTTAGAGCAGCCTCCTGGCTACTGTCACTTTAATATAGAGACTGTGTCTGTCCCTTGTCCTCGGCTCTTTAATTCTAACTGATCGATTAACAAAGGAGTAAATAACAAGAATCTTACTAGAATTATAACTGCTAACATGGCTGAACTGAGTAGTAGTAAGATAAAATGTGGTCTACTGAACACAACGTCTCTAAGTTCCAAATCTGTGTTATTAAATGAACTAATCTCTGATCATCGCATTGATTTACTCTCCCTAACCAAAACTTGGCTGCGTCAGGATGAATATGTCAGCTTGAATGAATCAACTCCTACTAGCCCCCTAAGCTCTCACATTCCTCGGGACTCTGGCCGAGGTGGTGGAGTTGCAGCTATTTACAATTCCAGTCTTGGAATTAACCCAAGACCAAAACTGGATTATAACTCTTTTGAAAGTCTTGTTCTCAGTCTTCCGCATCCAGCCTCAAAGAACACGAGACCACTGGTATTTGCTATAGTTTATCGCCCTCCGAGCCCATACCCATTTTGTCAGAATTCTATCTGATCTAGTCCTTCGTGCAGACAAAGTCATTGTCGTTGGTGACTTTAATATTCATGTGGATGTGGAAAATGATAGCCTAAGCATTTCTTTCTTGTCCTTGCTAGACTCAATCTGGTTTACACAGTGTGTACATGGACCTACGCACTGCTTTAACCACACCCTCGATCTTGTCCTGGCTTATGGCCTTAAAGCTGAAGCCTTGTCAGTCAGCTCATTAAATCTTCTTTTATCAGATCACTTTCTAGTAACTTTTGAATTTGTGCTTTGAGGCTACTCTCCTCATAACAAAACCGTGCTAACTAGAAGGTTGTCTGAAAATGCTGTGACTAAGTTCAAGGAGGCAATTCTATCTGCTCTTAATTCTGTGCTTGAGAAGAACTTCACTGATAGCTCATACTTGAACTTAAGTCCCTTGCAACTTGATCAGTTCGTCGATGATACCTCAGGCACATTGCGATCAATTCTTGACTCAGTTGCTCCTCTACGACAGAAAACTCTTACACGTGAGAGGCTGGCTCCGTGGTATAATGCTGAAATCCGTGAGCTGAAACAGTTATTAAGAAGACGAGAAAGGATTTGGCGCTCTTCCAAAACAGCTGAACCTCTTTTTCTCCGGCAGGAATGTCTTGATAAATATAAGAAGACCTTACGTAGTGCTGGACGATAATTCGATAACAATATATATCGATCGATAGACGTGTGCTGCGATAGAAAAAAAACGGGTCGATAAAAAGTTCGATAGAAAAACACAGTTTCCCTTTCTTTTTCATCATAGCCTATCATGTAGCTTTTGCTACAGTCATTACTTCCTCCCAACCAATCACAAACGCAGACCCAGGTACGCTACGGCACCAAGCCCAGCCCCTATCAAACCACAACAGACAGCACGTGTATTAGAAAAAATGATACAGCAAGGAGAAGCGGAGGACATTGTCAGTAGTTCACCAGCATGGCAATGTTTTGGTTTTTAGAAGTCTGACAAAAAGCGAACAGCGGTCGTTTGCAAAATTTGCAGAGAATTAGTAAAAACCAAGTCTGGTAACACAACCAACTTGTTTTACCATCTAAACCGGTCGCACCCGCAGGAGTACGAGCTGTGTCGGCCGCGCCGCGGCTCCACGTCGTCGGAGGAGGAATCCTCTGGAACCGCTGCCAGCACCAGCACAAAGCAAGTGAAGCAGACCAAACTGGACTTCGTTTCTTGCCAAAATACGACAAAAGCGTCCGAGCGGCATAAGGACATCACCCATGCAGTAACATGCTGCATAGCGAGGGACATACTGCCAATAACTACCGTTGAAAAGCCTGGCTTCGACCAGCTTCTAGCCACTCTCGACCCGTGATATGAAGTGCCCGGCCGCAAGTATTTCTCAAACACAGCGCTTCAGGCATGAAAATGGGTCAGGGGTTGAAAAGGTGAGAAGAATGCACCCCTGCATCCCGTCCACTCATTAGCTTCTTAAAGTGGAAGAAAATGAGCTCATATTTTACAAAGACGCGAGTATTTGGATCATGGCTACTAGCAGGGGGTGCATTCGGCAGGGGTGCATTCTACGACACAACACCGGCGTGGATAAGTCCTGCTTCTCGTGCTCAGTTTGCGTATCAAGTCAATCACATGATAATTAAAAAAATAAATCTCCCGACCCCGGGAGAAATATTTCAGTGTTCAGACACCAGGCTGTGGGCAGTTTCTCACACAGTTAAAACTGGTAGTATGTTATTCCCACCTAAAGCTATTCTGTTTATTTATATATTTGTTTGTTTTGTTTATTTTCATCAAAAGACTATTTAAATATTTATTTATCAGATTTTCTGGTCACTTTAGTCTTTATGTTTGTCAGTATTTACTGACATCACTCAGGCCCCTTAAGTTGATTTCTTTTTTTTTTAGTTCTTTTTTAAAAAACTTTCAGTTGTGGTAAAATAAAAAAGGTGGTTGAATAAAGGTTTGAATTTGAATTCAGTGCTTCTGTGTTCTTTATTAAAAGTAGGTCATTAAGCAATAGCATATAACATCCAGGGCTGCAATTAAAACATATGTTAAATAATTATAATAATTATATCAATAATTATCGATATCGATCAATATGATTTATTTTTTATCGATATGCTTTTTTTCTATATCGTCCAGGCCTAACCTTACGATGTGCTCGGACAACTTACTACTCGTCTCTTGTGTCTCTTGTGTTCAGTATCAATATGACAAAAATACTTCCACAGGTCATCCTCCCTTCCTTCCATCCATTAAGACATGATGAGGTAATGCATGTTGATGAAAGATGAAAGCTCTGTAAACACCATCCAAACTAGAGAACAAGCAGAAATCTAATCATTACATCAAAGTGTTGCAGAAACTAAATAATACACTTGGATCAAAAAATTCTTTTCCATAATGATGCCGACAGTAAATATAGTAGTTCATTTATTCATTTTTGTTTTAAATCGATTCTTTTCACAGATACCACAATACCAGTATTTATGACGTCAATGGAAAACCATCATAGCAACAGAAAATTTTCATTCCTGTGTCTTATCAAATAACATAAACTGTGATTAAAAAAAAAGCTCTATTGATAGTAAGTACTAAAAAAAAAAATCTACCCATGCCATCCAGTCGATTTTTAGTAATCAGTGTTGCCGTGTCGAACTATTTCCTTTTGTGCATTTATTTTTGTCTTGTTACATCTTTTCCATTATTCCAATTTTGGGGGGCGTGGTAGCAATTTGATTGACTTTCAGCCATTTATGGCCATGATGTGCTGTTTATATTTTATTGCTTTTATTAACCAGTAGGTTGTCATTTTTATGTATGAAACATAAACTTTTAGCTAAATTTACTGTATATATTTCATTGCGCTGGGTGCAAATCCCTCGAGTTGAGACGTTTTCTTCAAGAAATTTGCTACATTTCATAATCTGAATTCACTTATGCATAAACTAAGGCACCAATAACTATTTCAGATATTAGGTAGATGTATTTATGACATTTGAGAAAGATTTTGTCTTGCCAGAATCAACATAGCAGTTTCTACAAGCAAAAACAGCAGCACCATATAATTGTTTTTTGGGTTACTCACATATATGTACATTTCTGGCTGGTGACAAAAGTCGGACAGATAGTCTGAGTAGATATTTTAACCCAAAGTCTAGAATGGTATTGTCTATGCAAAAATGCATTGAATAAGTAGCACCAGCGTAGTGGAACGAAATTCATTTTCTAGGCACTTTTTCCTTTGTCCCAATACAGCCTATGACCTCAAGCGAAGTTTCTTTCACAGAGTTTCAGATGCCGTGGACGTGGATGCATCGGCGATGCTGGCTGAAGCGTTTGACCCGCAGCTGCATCACGTTCTTGTTTCTCAAACGCCTTTTGCAAATAAATCGCTGGTAGCATGTCGTGAAGCCCAGCGTCATCAGGAACATTGTCAAAGTCGATATCAACGCAATGTTTATAAGTTTCTGCAAGGTCCTTTGTCTCACCCTATAGAGAAAGCCACTTTCTAATACTAGTTCTGTAAGTTTCCCAAAGTGTCCTTGTAAAGTCGAGAACGTTTTCACTCTGGACAGATAATAGATGCATATAGCATCGTTTCGTTCCTTTTTGATGCACTTTTGAAGGCTGTTTTCTTTTTTTTCCTTTTCTTCCTCTTTGCTTGTCTCGCTGCTAGATGCGCTCGTCGCCATGTTTGTGTATTTCTGATACTATGGCAACGAGACTCAGCTCCTATTGGTCCACGTGACAAAAATCGCTTCACCCTTTGCATATTCGATTGCGCATGTGCAAGTATCACTAAGCCGTAGAAAGGAAATAGTTCGACACAGAAACACTGATTACTAAAACTCGACTGGATGGCATGAGTAGATTTTTTTTTTAGTACTTACTATCAATAGAGCTATTTTATGAATCACAGTTTATGTTGCCCCACAAAAGTGGAACTTTCTAGGCACTTTTTCCTTTGTCCCAATACAGCCTATAGACTGTTTAATAAGCCCTGATTTTTTGCCTTCGAGGACTTTGTCTGTGTCCTGCATTTGGGTCCCACTGTTGGTTTTGTCCTTGACAATATTACATTTGTTCAGGGCTGACCCTTAGGGTCAGGTGACGTTCCAGACAGGGGCGTAGGTTTGGTTTCAACATTGGTAGGGACGATATAACAGCGTAACCTGCATGTACATTTTTTGCTGGGGACGTCCCAATCTCAATTTACAGCTTTTGTCCTTCATATACCACAAGAGTAATACATTGCTTTAATTGGTTGTCTCTTTCACCTTCTTCTCCATTATTTTCATCTCTAAACTGCATCAGTGTTTGGGCGATTATGGAAAAAATCTAAATCAAGATTAAATGAACTTTTTACCTCTATTATGATTAATGTATGATTATCTGAAAAAATGTCTGCATAGGCTGCAAATAAAATACTTTTAGATAAATAATTTAGAAAATGAATACACTTCATGAATAAATACATGCACTAATAGGTATTTTGTTTCAAAAGTGTAAAGTCACAACATGCTCTAGCCTTCTTTCCTTCTAAACCAGGCCATGTACAAGAAGAAAAGCAGCAGCATGTTTTTTTTTTGATTGTAAACACTTTTCTGTTAAACACAGCTTGGGACCTCTCTCTGAGCAACTTCTTACTCACGTTTTTCTGGTTATATAGTTTCCAGCATTTAAAGTTAGCAGTAAACACATATAGGGCACTTCTCTCTAAGCAGCTGCCTACTCGAGCTTTGCAGGTTAGCAAGTTCACATAGTTTAACGTTATGCTAACTCTGATGCGGGTCGGACATTCAGTAGCAAAATTAGGGGTGTTCATCCACCTCCAAAACATTGACGTCTTCTTACATTATTTACAGTGGCTGTGGCTTCTGCTGCTGGCTGAAAGATGCTTCTAATATCCCTCCTCTTCGAAGGGGGTGGAGGAGGCGGCATGATTGTCGATACACGTACTTCTGTCGGGGCTATGTGTGTGTGTGTGTGTGTGTGTGTGTGTGTGTGTGTGTGTGTGTGTGTATGTGTGTGTTGGGGGGGGCTGGGGGGGGGGGGGGGAGTCTAGTCATCAGCCAATCAAACATGCGTTTGAGGAAAAAAAAATGGGCCGGCACATTCAACAAGTGAAAAGGGGTAAATGTAAGTCAGAACATAATGAAAATAATTCACTTAATAACGGTAGGGTTGATTCTATCCTTACAAAATATGGGAAGACAATCTTAATTACCTATATAACTGCACTCATTATATAATGCAAATAAGGTTGCTTAAAAGTTGGTGGGGACAATTTGAGCACCCTGAAAAGTTGGTAGTGTTATGTCCCTACAGTCCCTATGCAAACCTACGCCCTTGGTTCCAGATCATTAGTTCAAAGACAATCCACTTCTGAGTTGGCTAATGACAGTATTCAGTAAAAGCACCTGGGATCCACACTGTCACCAGAGCATGATAACATTTGTGTTGAAAAAAAAAGAGGACTAAACAGAGTATTTTAAAGCTAAATGAGAAGAGGACTGTCTGCCACTTACCATTGTGTAAGCTTAGTCAGAATAGTGGCGTATTATTAAGACGAAGGACTGATACGCCACAGGTACCATGCCTATCCACCCAGTCCCAGCTGTGGGGAAGGCAGTAGTGTAGTGTAGTGTAGTGTGTGAAAGACAAGTGAAAATTGTCCTGTATGAATTTTTTGTCTATTCATCTTTTTTATTTATTTTCATTATTTGGGATATTTTATTTGGTGTATTGAGGGTCAATATAACCAAAATCCTCTGTTTTATCTGTTTATTTTTATGTCTAATTTTAGGTATTATATGAGTAGCATACAATGTCCTCTAGTGGCTGTAAGGGGAACCATTGCATCATTTTTGCCCTTTTGTTAGTCTGCTTAGAAATCTACTGAGAGAGGTATGTATCGTTGTAGTTCATAAATTGTGGATCTAAGACTTCTAAGTTTGATTTAACTGCTAAAACTGTTGGTTGTTCTAAATACATGTAAAGGAGATGAAAATTTTAACTTTTTCTTGCCAGAGTTGAAGAGAGCTAGCTGTCAGTGCTATCACATCTTCTGTGGTAAATGTTTTGAGCATTTCTTTATCTCATGTTAGGCTTGTTGTGAAGATAGGGCCAATGTTGAAAGCATTTCTGCTCTCTCTAAATGTATTCAGGTATGTTTATCTTGTATATTTTTTACTGTTCATGAAAAGTTCCTTTATTATTCACTGTTATAAATTGTGGTTTCAGTGCAAAAGTCATAATCATAATAATTAATAGACATCAGACTTTGCAGTTGCACTTTTATACATGAAAATATGTTGAGTTTTTTATTTATATTTTATAAATGTGTTTATATATATATATATATATATACACACACTTGTTATACATACACACTTGTTATATAGATAGATAGATAGATAGACATGTATAGGAACCCCCTTCCTAACCCTTGAAGTCAATTACCTGACGTAGATATTGAGGCTGAAGATGAGGAGGACATGGGTGAAGACATACAGACATACATCTTCTGGGGCACTTTGTAGATGGTCTTCCCTTATGGGAGGGGGAATGTGAGCCAGATAGGGGCAGCAAACTCTGCCAGTTTAGGAAACTTGTTGGTAGAGCTGCCTGTTCATCAGGGGTAGATACCTCAATGAGCCAGGCTCCAACATAATGACACTTTGATGATGGTGAGGGACAGTCTGCACCATTTCAGGTACCTCTCCTGTAGATGTGGAGGACCTGGCACTGGCGAGATTTTCAAAACCTGCAGATCCTCTGAAGTTTTCCACCTCTATTAGGCGACTGTTGGCTATGCAGGATTGGGATAAAATTGGTTGTGCTGCCCTTCTACAACTGGTCCATTACAGCCCTCATGTTCTCCTCAAGCTCAGTGTTGAGGAAACCTTGTTGTCTGACCAGATGTTGTAGGATATTGAATGGTAAATAGGCAGAGAAATCGTTGACCCATTTGCTCCCTGAGGCTGGATCTTATAGCCTTAACCCAACAAACGCCTGTCTATCCTCAGTGACAGGATACACATCAAAACAAGTATACTTTATTTTATTAGGTAACCTTTTTATACATTTTGAGCATGTGCCTATTAAAATATTCCCTCTTTTTGAGAGGGATTAACTCCTTCAAGTGTAATAATACTGCACTTGATGTGCTGTGAAGCCACATGTAGTTCACTGGCTGCCACAGGCCCAGGGCTTGCAGTGGCTGGCTGATAAAGCTTTTGCAAATGAATTCAAATGTCTTCTCTTTAGGAACTTGTTTCATCTCTGCACACACTCAACTAGCTGAATGTAGACTCCTCAAACTCAAGATAAGACAAATCGAGAGCCTCTCATGTTGTAATTCATCAAGTATGGAGGATTTAACTGGTCTGCTGCCCAGATTTATCTCTCCTCCTAATACTGGGAAGGCTTTATCCACTTCATGTAGCCAGTAGCTTTTGATGCTATTACCTGTGGAGCGATTTTATGTTCAGCTCTAATCCGTCTTGAACCTACCTTTGGGTCGAGACCCATTCTTTGAAAAACAATAGTGCACATGCATAATAGTGAGCCCGAGGCTCAGCTGTGACCCACATACCCCCTACCAAGGCCAGCAGAGTAGGTAATTTAAGTGTTTGTGGGCTGTTCAGACTCTGTCTCTGCCTGCTCAGGGGTGGATGTCACTGTAGTTGAGGTATTACAAATTGTTTCAGTTTGAATGAAACTCCCAATTGAAAAGACCAATTTAGGAATACTTTGAACAAAACCTCTAAATAAGATGAGTCCACATGCATGCATCTGCACCAGAGTGGTAATCAAGAAATGTTAACTCAACATGCCACCTGTGGACTTGCACCACAGGACATGACTATACCAGAGTCTTAATGACTCTCAAAATATAAAATCACACAGGTAAGAACCCTCAAGAGGCAGAGATGCAGAAAAATAATTGCATAATTTGCAACAAAACTCCTCATTTTAAAGAAGTCTTTATGAAAACTCTCATTCCAATAATGTCTGCAGAAAACAGTAGCCTACTTGGCATCCTCTTTCTGCTGGGAGTTTCTCAGCAAATGAGCCGAGCTGACCGACATCCATCGTGGCTGATAACATGTAACTTTCAACCTTATTGAAAAATACTGGAATATCCCTTAAATAAGAGCTAC